TACATGATCAGGATGTGTATAGAGAACAGTTTCAAGAGGATAGTGGAAGCAGAGGCTAGTAGGTAGGGGTTGGAAGAGTGAATGGACAGTAAGAAAGAGAGACAGGGAGTATGACACTTTGAAAAGTTTTGATGAGAAAAGGGAAGGTGTGAAAGAGAACATAATTAGTGGAGGAAGGTAAAGGATGTTAGGATTTTGAGTCATTTTGGTTTGGTTTTTCTTTATTTTTGTGCATGTACACATGTGTGTGCGTGTGTGGGTTTGTGTAACAGAGACAGGAGAGGCAATTACAGAGAATATGTGTGTCTCTGTAAATGTGTAATGGGTTTTAGGGTGATCAGAGGAAACCAAAATAAAGAACTTGCAGATTCAGGACAGAGAAGGAAGATAATAGATGGAACAAAAACCAGAGAAGGTAGATGGGGATAGAATCAAGAAACAGGTGTGGAGATTGGTCTTCCTAGGGGAAAGAACATATCGTCCTCTGAGATTAGAGAGAACAGTGTAAATGGCTTGTTTAAGGGGGTAAGATGGTCAGAACATCCAGGGAGTTTAAATCTGATAGTCCTTTAACAGTGAGCAAGTCTTTTATAGTGAAGAGATGGGTAGGGGCCTGATGAAAACCCTTAAGGTTTGGAAGTGTCCTTCAAAGACTGGAAGAGTCAATTAATCAAGGATAAAAATTGGTATGTGTTTCTAGAAAAAGACTCAGCAAACCCTAACCAGGGAGCCAAATCTAGCCTGTGGTCTGTCTTTGTGGCCCATGAGCTAATAAGCATGTTTCTTACATTTTTAAAGTTTGTTTAAAAAAAGAAGAAGAAATATATGGATATGACACAGACCATATGTGACTTGAAAATCCTGAAGTATTTACTATTTAACTCCTTACAGAAAATTTTTCCAACTTTGTTCTTTGGTAATCAAATTGAAGGTAGAATCCCTCACTTTGTATCAGGAATTCCATTTGCTCTAAAAGCAGTCAGCAACCTATCTAAAGAATGTTTTAATTGGCAAATGGTCAGGGATAGGTCTGAGGTATGAGCGGTGTTCAATTTGTTGATATATGTGATGCTTACATAGGTATTTGCTTTAACACTATGCATGACTCCATAGTGTGTGCTGGGACAGTGACTCAAAAAATAATCCCTAATTTGTAGCATTTGCCAATTTCCATGGTATAAGTACTCCCAACATGGCTACTTTCAGGCTACCAATTAGTACTGAATGAGAAGTTGGGAAGAAATGTGCAGAATTGGTTCTCAACAAGCCGGTTTGGGCCAGTTTGGGATTTTTTCCCACAGGGAAACAAATTTCGGAGAAATAGCTCATTCCATTTCATACCATATGAATTTTCTGACCTACTCTTGTGAATTAATTACACTGACTAAACTGTAAAGACTTTTGAAAAGTTTCTACTTCCATTTTTTGTAGCTACAGCTGAATTTGAACTCTAGGGCTAAGCTGATACCTGGGAAGATGCACATCTTGGTGAAGCAGAAAAGCTGTTGTTTCCTTGATAGAGCACAGCTCAAATTTAGGAATGTGAGAACTGTGTTTTGGCATAAATTTCTGATACTTTGAGACCTCTTTGGAGATTAGAATAAATGGAAATGCCCATAAGCTGAAGGACACAAATGGAATCCATCCAGATAGAGGTTGACCTTTAGGAAGACCGTGTGTGCCAGTATGCATCGAGAGTTGCACTATTAAACTCCGGGCCTTCTTTCCTTACAACATATTATAGTAACCCACTGTATTTCCCCTTGCGTATTTTCCAGGGTATTTTATTTTCTGTTCCCCACTTCTTCTCAGCTTCTATAAACTTAAAAAATATAACTTAAGATATGAAGGCTTTTACGAGTTAATGAAATGGCCAAAAATTGTTAATCTCCTCTCAGGGAATAGCTGTGAATGCTCTGGTAGGCACTAGGAGAAAAAATCTCGGCTCCTCAATATGAATTGTTCTCATCATGGCTTCATGTTTCTGTAAAGGAACATTTCTTTAGCGCTCTTTCAACTGCTTTTAATCAGTTTAAGCTTTGATTAAAAATGAAATAACAAAAAGTGAAAATTTCCTATGTAATTTGATATAAATAATAAGGAGCTGATAGAATTATATATATAAGAGAGTGGGGATTTGTTTAGATAATTTATTAGGCAAAGTCATCAAAATATATAAATGTTAGGAAAATATAATAATAGGTATTTGAACAAAATATGTAAGACCAAACACCTGGAATAATTAGAGGCATAATTCCTTTCCCAAACAACGTTTCCTATTTAGCTAGTTTGAGGTTTATTCTGGGACCTGTCACTTCATTGTACTTCAATATCTCTTCATGGCAACCTTCTCTTTATCTCCAGTTTCCACTGGCAAATATTTCTTTGTCTTGCAAAAAAGCCCCTGATGTGTGTGAAGTATCAAGAGTAATGGACAGTACATGTTCTGCATGGAGAACAAACAATGAATCATGGAACACTACATCAAAAACTAATGATGTAATGTATGGTGATTAACATAACAATAAAAATTAAAAAAAAAAAAGAGTAACGGACAGTAAACAGATGCTGCAAGGAGCTAGCTCATAAGTGATAGGCAAGTACCCTGTGCCATGTATTCTCATTATTCAAAGGCCTTTTGACTTACTTGCTAGATCTTGGCTACATTCTAGATAGGTGAGGTATTATTATCTTTATGAATAATGGATTGCATAAATATGAGGGGTAAAAAATTTAAGGATCAACTGAACAATTTCTAACAATCTAATGCGAAAACTCATTGCAGGGCCAAGGGCATTAATGCAGAAAGTTGAAAAACTCAAGAGAGTTTAAAAGACCCCAGTCAATTGAATCATGGATTATTTAATTCTAAATAGCTAAGTTTTATGACTTTGGATGAGAAAGAGAGTTTTGTTTTGTATATCTTTTTTCTCTCTTTTTAAAGATAGATTAAGTCTTAAATATTTATTTTTAAACCATATGTTCAGTTTTAATCTTGAACTCACTGGAAAGGAACACTTCCTCAGTACTATAATAAATGTAAATACCAAGCATTTAAAATGCATATTTGGCTTCCATAAATCCGAATAATGTTTTTTAAATTTTCTATAGACTGTGACGTAAACCACTTGATACTCTGAAATTCCTACATTAGCTTGAAATCAGAGTCATTCTAAGTGACATTCATATTTGTGTATATTTTTTAAACCCAAACATTCATAAGTGTGTGACTTCTGTGAGGCCTTTCGACATGTGTATGATCGCGCAGAGCTTTGGGGTCCCTCGTCCGTCGGCATATGCTCCCTTACTGCCGTACCACTGTATCTCTGAGTTCACCGCACACCCCAGCTGCGGTGCTCCTTCATGAAGTCGTCTCTCCTTGAGCTGTCTTTATAATACAGCAAGTCCCTGAATAATTGTTAAGTTAGGCCCTCCAAAATCCCAATAGTGGTAGCTAGACTCTTTTAGCATAGTGACACATAAAAATTCTTAGTTACAGTAACTTTTACCAAAAAAGAATTTCAGAGAGTATTGCGATGAAGAATGTGTCTCAAATACACCTGTGTTTTAGTTTATCTACAAGGGGAAGTGTTATGCTGCTTACTGAGAGGAAGTAGGGCATCTTTTTCTACTTTGTGTATAATTGATTTATGAGGTCAGTGGAGAGCGAAATAATATATAGCAATCGACACAGGACAGAAATTCTGTACAGACATTCTGTACCTGATCAGGTGAGGGGATTTTTACTTAGACTTATTTTCTTGCTACTCTTTTCAGGTTCTTTTTTCTAACCCAGCTCATTCTTTCTTGGGCTTTATTTATAGCCTGCTGAACGTTGGCTTCAAGCTGTTTTTATTTTCTCTGTGTTTCCTTTGACTTCAAACCTTAGAACTTTCCTTGTCTCTTGGCCCATCCTACACTGGTGTTTGACACCAGCTTCCCTTTACCCTCTGCCTCAAACCTGAGGGCTGGCTGCACTACTCCTGTGCCTGGCCACAGTGTGTTCAGCCATAGGCACACCATTGTTCGAAAGAAGAAGTGAGGAGATGGGAGGATGACGTCTTTAACCTGGCATGTCGAGATTGAAATGCCCACAGGGACTCAGCAACCAGCTCAGGAAGAAAGTCTATGCTGGTGATAAAGACTCCCTGGTCATCACCGTATAGAGAAATAAAAACATCATTGGTATGAGTTAGATTACCACGGGAAGCTAAAGAAAAGACAGCTCAGCAAAGAACCCTCGGCATTTCAGGGAAGGACTCCTTACCCCCAAAAAAGAGGATTCCTGTGAAGAAGACAGAATGAAGAGAGAGGGCAGCATTTCAAGGAGGAGAATGAGGTTAAAAGAGCCTGTTATCACAGATAAATTAAGGACTAGAACTTTTTACATTGCTGACTTAGACCAATTTTGGAGGAATAGGAAAGACAGAAATTTGATATACAATGAGAAATGCGTGGATAGTTTGAAGGCGAACTTGTGAGGAGGAATCATTTATCCATTGGCTCAAGAAGCTGTCAACCTAAGAGAATATGGGGCAAATCCCTTTAACTCTGGTCTCTGTTTTTTCAGTTGTAGAATAAGGGAATTAAAATAAATGATCTCCAACCACTGTTCTGCTATAATATTTTATCACTCTAGGAGTCTAAATCAATTCTTCAGGAGGAACAAAATTGTAACATGCTAAGCTGTACTTGATTGTCATCTCTACACTTGTCTTTGCATGTTTGCTCTGCATTTAACCATCTGCAAGCAGTATGGTACTTGTTTTGTTTTTGTCACACATTTGCACTGTTTCAGCAGTTCATGCTGTTATAGTTGACTTAAATTCCTAATTTGTTAGTAGAAAGGATATACCACATTATTTTGAAGCACTAATAAAAGCCAAAAATAGAATGGAAAATGTACTAATTTTACAAATAGAACTTTTGTTTTTGTTTCTAACATTGGGTTGTTAAAGACTTCTTCTAAAACTTTTTTATACATCTCTTTTGAATCCCAGGTATTGCAATTTCAGATGAACTCGATAAGGTAAGTTGAAGAGAAAATGTAGAATTTACATTTTATTTTAATTCACTGTCTAAATGAAAGACTTTCTGAAACATAAAGTCTTCAAATATAACTTATTTGGTGCTAACTTTTCAAAACTTCCAGTTATATGCTTTGATTCTTTTATGAAAGTTATTGCATGAAGTATATATATCACCTACTCTTCAGAATCAGGAGTTTTAGAATTTGGTTAGAGAAAACTGAATCTCACTGAATCACTAAAAAAAAAAGAAAACTAATCATATTATATTACGTAAAATATTTTTTTCTGTACATGATGATGAAGATGAGGATATGGAAGACACTTGTACTTTTCTATAGCTATCCTTTGGAAAACTTAGTAAGTTTTTGTATTGTTTTGTTTTTAAATTCCAAGATATGAAGAGAATATGATGGTACCTTTACTGGGGTGATAGTTGTGAAGGTGGTGAGAAGTGACATCATTAGGAATGTATTTTAACAGTGGTGTCAGTAGAACTTGTTAAGTGTATCCGATGTGGGAGTTGTAGAAGAAATCAGTCACAAATAAATAAATAAAATCTTAAAAAAAAGCGGGGGGGCGTGTGGGTGGCTCAGACATTAAGCGTCTGCCTTCGGCTCAAGTCATGATCCTGGGATCCTGGGATTGAGTCCCATGTCGGGCTCCCTGCTCCGCGGGAAGCCTGCTTCTCCCTCTCCCACTCCCCCTGCTTGTGTTCCCTCTCTCGCAGTCTCTCTCTCTGTGTCAAATAAATAAATAAAATCTTTTAAAAAAAGAAGGAATCAGTCAATGATGATTCCTAGGTTTGGGAGATAAACAACTAGGTACACTGTAGTGCCATTTATCAAAATTGGAAAAACTGGGGAAAAGCAGATTAGGCAGATTGCAGTAACAGTAAGAGTTCTCTTTTGGCTTGTTTATTTTGAGTTGTCTATTAAGCATATTTATATGCACTATTACTCATGAGAGACTCGATTTAGTTATACATTTAGGAGTCATTGGGATAGAAGTTCTCATTTTTGTTTGGTTTGGTTTGGTCTCAGGACTCCTCTACATTCTTAGGACAGAGGGCCTCAAGAGGCTTTGGTTTGTGTAGATTATATCTATCGATATTTACCATGTAAGAAATTAAGACTTCTAAAAAATGTATATGTTGTTCATTTTAAAAATAGCAGTGATAAAGCCATTATATTAACAAAGATAACGTTTTTTATGAAAAATACTTTATTTGCCAAAACAAGGTATTTGTGAGAACATTACATTATTTACATTTTTGAAAGTCTCTTTAATGCCTGGCTTAATTGGAAACTTCTTCATTTTCATAACTACTTCTGCACTCATTGTGTTATGTTGTTTTGGCTGAAAAAAAAATCTGACGTCAGATATGTAGTTGGAAAAGGGCAAAGCACCTAGAAATAGCCATTAATATTTGGTGAATGTTGACCCAAAATCTCTCTAAACAGAAGACATATTACAGCTGGCTTGGTGGCTAGATACATAGATAGAAAGAAAATGATAGAAAGCATCATACAAAAAAATGGAATTTTATGAATCATTACATTTTAAAATAATAAACTATAATGTAATAATTGTATTATTTTTACAAAAACAATAAAGTTAGTACTCTTCTGTTCCAAATAGGATTATACCTTTTGAATTTTGTACCATAAAAATACATTTCTGTTTGACTAAATAATAAGTAAAATTTATCAATATACTTATAAGTATTAAGTAAGTCAATAAACCATCATGATATTTAAACATTAATTTGTATCTATACTAACTGTGCAAAGCTAGATCTTGACTACAAACAATAGCAAGTAGAACAAGTGGCAGATGTGGTCTCCTGACTTTGTCCTGCTTTTGTAGTCTTCTTCCTCTTTGTGTCCATCATTGTCTTTGCCCCAGCTGGCCTCCTTCTTATACCACGACCTTCCTTACAACTTGCAGAAGTTTCATAAACCCTACTCCTGCATTTTTATTCTGTGTTCACTTTAAGTACAAAGACCTCATCATCTCTATTTCTAGGTTCATTTGCTCCTTCCAATATATTTTGCAAAGCCCTGGCTGCCTGAGCCATATATGAGCTTGTGTGATTTTGCTTGGCCCTTGTCCTTCCTTTCTTCTGGGTTCTAATTAGCAGTGGGGTTGGTGCCTACACCTTTTTTGTAAGCTAAAGAATATACTAATTGTTCTTTCAACTGAAAATAGATTTCACCCTCAGTGGATGCCATGATCCTTGATTAGTATCACCCTCAGGACACATCCATACCCCAATACCCTCTCTCTTCCAAGTACTAGCTGAAAGGAGTTTCAATTTAACTAAATTGCTATTTTTCATTTACTTACCTGATATTCCTATTTTTGAAGACTTCATGGAAATTGATGAAATTTATTGTACATTTAATATTTTTAATTTTTACTGGGAAGATGTCAATAATTGTCATAAAACTTTTATTTAAAAATACTTATGTCAGTGTAAAGAAATTGTTACCATTCTCATACCTAATTTTTAAAGAGTTCCCAGATAATAAAAGGCAAACACAGGCTGCCAGAGCCATAGCCACTATTCTTTGCCTGCCTGGAAAGCAGCTTTGGTTGGGGAGAGAGCTGGCCCCATGGCGCTCTCTGCTGACCATTAAGCTCACAGTCCTGCATTTTTCTCGGTAAGAAAATGTGACTCTCAGGCAGATACTAAAAAAACCCAAAAGGAATGATTTACAACTTGTGTTGACCTGACACCTATGTCTTTAATGTAATAATAAAAATCAATTAAGTTTCTTCCTTTTAATCTTCCATTAAAAATTTGGGGGGTTTGCTAAAGATCTGTTTTTCTTAACCTTTATAAAACTACCAATCATTTACTATCCTATTCCAATTATATTTAATTGTCATTTCTTTGAAATGATTTTTTTCCTGCGGATTTCAAAGTTAGTTTGTGAATTCTGATAAAGGTAGTAAGAATGATTAATTTTACTTAAAATGGAAACAGTAAAACAAAACAGAGGCTAATGTTAGATTTTAAGGCTTTTATTTTTAGTTGTGGGAATTCTATCAATTTCTTATTCATTAGTTTTGTCCTTCCTCTTTCCTTAGCCCCTGTATTGGTTTTCTATGGCTACTGTGACAAATTAAAATAATGCAAATTTATTATCTTATGTTTCTATAGTTTAGAAGTTCAACATGAGTCTCTCTGGGCTTAAATCAAGTTATCATAGGGTGCATTCCTTCCTGAAGTTCTAGGGGAAATCTGTTTCCTTGCCCCTTCCAGCTCTTAGAGGCTGCTCTATTTCTTGGTTCATGACCCTTTTCCTCCATCTTCAAAACCAGAAACATCTCATCTCTGGCTAATTGTAGCCAGGAAAAGCTTTCTGCTTTTGTGGGATCATGTGATTAGGTTGGGGCCACCTGGCTAATCCGGATAATCGAATCTTAACATTTTTAACTTTAATCATGCTAAGTCCCTTTTGCCATTTAATGTAACATATTCACAGGTTTGGGGGTTGGGATGTGGACATTCTGGGGAAGCTATCGTTTTGCCTTACAGCCACTATTCAGGTTCAGATAGTATTACCTTTCATATCTGTATCTAATTCTTCAGGCTGCTACCATTCCAGTTCATCCTTTAAAATGCCATATAGTAGACATGGCTGGTGCCTGCTCAGTTTCTGTTCATTGGGGCAGTGTGACCAAGCCTTCAAGTGCTGTGAGGGTTGGGTGCTTCTGGGCTCACTGTTTTCCTGAGGATTGCTTCAATCCATTGGGAGCCATCCTGCCCAGAGATGCCTGGGTTGGCCCTCAGTTAGTGACTGACTGAAATAAGATTCTGACTTGTCATTTACATTCCAGAGATCCTTATGAGATCAGGCTGTGAGTAGACTTTACCTGAACCCATATGTTTGTCTAGTTTCTTCCCCTGTCTTCTGCTTCCTTTACTCTCTTACAGGTTCACTTGAGAGACCCTATGAATATATCACCTTTTTTAGCCTCTGGTTCTAGGGAAGCTTACTTAGAGAATCCTGCTAAAAATTTTCCATGACTCTCTGGCTACTTTAAATTAAGTCCAAATTTCTAACAGAATAAGCGGTCTCCATTTTGTCACTCAAATCTATATTTTATGCTTTGCTTCCCTCTTTTTCTCTATTCAGAGTCTGTTTTGTGCTCAACAAAGAATAGTGTAAGGCAGCTAGACTATAGTACTTTTCATATTTTTTGTTTATTTCCACATTTTTGCTCATTGTCATTCCCTCCCTTCTAAGTTTTCCATTTTTCAAGCTCCAGCCTTTCCTGATCACTCTTGCAGAAAGTGATCTTACCTCCTCTGAGTTTTTAGAGGATATAGCAACCACATCACAAATGACACTTCTTGTCTCATATTATGGAAATTTTTGTTCACTGCTTGAAGAAATTGCCTGATATTTTGGAAGAATCCACAGAGGAAACTTTGGACTGAACCTTGGCTCCTGCCATTTACTAATTATGTGGACTTCAGAAAGTTATTTATAGATGCTGGCCTTTAGTTTCCTTCTCTGTGAAATGTAATGGTTTTAGTAACTATTGAAAATAACATCAATTACTCTCCCACTCAAAAATAATTTTAGGCAGATTGCTAAAATGTAAAACATTTAAAAGGAATATTTGGGAAAATCATTTCGAAGAGAACAGAGCATAGAAAATATGTGAGTCCCCTGTGCAAAATGCAGTCTTGGGGCTCAATATCATCACTCTGTTTGAGCCACAATTGAGCTTTTTGTTACTTGGTATCATCACCACTCACAGGATCATAGCAAACTAGTTGTTCACAGGGAAACTAACTATTCCTACTACTGAATCTTAAGAAAAATATCCCTCATTAATCCTCATGAAGTGGATACGTATAATGTATCAATAATATTCTTAAAAAATTCTTATGCTTCTGTGCACCAAAGGGTATAATCAACAGAGTGCAAAAATAACTTCCAGATTAGGAGGAATATTTGCAAATCATATATATATATAATAA